CGTGCGAAACCTCCTGCCCCAGCTCTGATTGCGGGGAGGGGGACGGGGCTGTCTGGCCGTCCTGAGCCCTTCACCGTGCTGAAACTTGGGAAGGTTCTTGGACAGGGCTGCGTCTGGCAGTGGGACAGGATGGGAGTAACAGGGGGATCCTTTCAGGCTCTTCATCAGGGGAAACATAAAACTGAAGCCCTGGTGGTTCTCAATGCTTTCCACTGTTATTTTTTGTTACTACCTGAAATTTCCACAAGCCCAGCACTCGGAGCAGGGGCAGCTGGGGCAGCTCCTCGGCTCCTGCACCCCTTTGGCCATTTGCTGACCCCTCTTCCAAAACAGTCGTGTGCTGCTGCTGGGGTACAGCTGCTGGAGCTATCGCTGTCCCCTGCCAACCGTGCAAGGGGACAGCTGCAGCCTGGGTACGGAGCTGGAGGTGGAATGATGTCTTTACGGCCGTGCTAGGCAGGTGGTTATCTCCTGAAAAGCCCCTGGGTGCAGTGGGCAGCCCTGACTGCTCCGCACTAGCCGCCTCCCTCACCGCCCGTTGTCTCCCCACAGCTGCTGTTCCAGGAGACCAACCCTGGCGTGCGGTACCAGTACACCATCCAGCGCCCGGCCGACAGCGAGAACGAGATCGAGCAGGCGGAGTTCCTCTGGCGCTTCGGCTCCTGGACCACGTGCACCGCCACGTGTGGGACCGGTGAGTCCAGCTCCCGCGGGACCCCGGGGCTCCGCCGCCCACGGTGGAGGAGCGGAGCAGGCAGAGCATCCCCAGTACCGCGGAGATGCCGTAGAAATTCCTGGGTCTTTGGTTTCAGGAGCTCTTGGGGGGGAAAAAGAAGTGACACCTGCTGAGGTCACCGCTCTCAGGTGCCCCTGCCGCGCTCGCCCGCCGGCCCCCACCCTTTATCAGCGCTTTGCTCCTTGCTCGGTGTCCTGTTACTGCGCCCGGTGTTCCTCGGCGTCAGGGTGATGGAGACAAAGGAGCTTTAGAGAAACCCAGGGGGTGTTGAAGCGCTGCTCTCCCGCCTGGCTGGGCCTCTCCGGGGGAATCGTTTCCAGGGTTTTATGGAGAGCACATGGGAGGGTGCCCGGTGCAGGCAGAGCTCCGGGATCCCATGTTGCCCCGTGGTGTTGGACGCTTGCTTCCCCCTCCCGCCCCACTATGTCACCAGCTGGGTGGCCCTGGGCAGGTTTTGGGGTGGCTGATGGAGGGGGATGGTCTGGGCAGGCTGCGAGGGGGGAGGCTGGGACCAGCGAGCCCTCCCTCG